GGCTCCCAGGATACAGGGCTTAGGAGGTTTAGGGTTTGGGGGTTTAGGGTTTAGGGTTTAGGGTTTAGGGTTTAGGGTTTAGGGCTTAGGGCTTAGGGCTTAGGGCTTAGGGCTTAGGGCTTCGGGCTTCGGGCTTAGGGCATTTCGGGTTAGGGGTTTAGGGTTCAGTTGTTCGAGTTCCAAGCAGTCGTTGAGGTGTCAGGATGGGCCATTGCAATGGGCTTTGGACCCGAGGCCGTGGGGCTTGGTTAGACCTCCGGGGATTGTTTAGGGTTTAGGGTTTAGGGTTTAGGGTTTGGGGTTTGGGGTTTAGGGTTTAGGGTTTAGGGTTTAGGTTTTAGGTTTTAGGGTTTAGGGTTTAGGGTTTAGGGTTTGGGGGGGGTGCCAAATTCCACCAAGAGTCGTGACATTCTGGAGGCAGCTGTCTGGCACAGAGTACTCGCCGCTGGGGAACCTCCACACCCCAAACCCTTAACCCTCAACCCAAGCATGCTCAACCCTAACGTCCCAAACCCTGAACCCCGGACTCTAAAACCCTCAGACCAAAACTCAGGGTTTAGGGTTCAGGGTTTAGGGATGTTTGGGGTTTAGGGTTTAGGGTTTAGGGTTTAGGGTTTAGGGGTTAGGGTTTAGGGTTTAGGGCTTAGGGTTTAGGGCTTAGGGTTTAGGGTTTAGGGTTTAGGGTTTAGGGTTTAGGGTTTAGGGTTTAGGGTTTAGGGTTTAGGGTTTAGGGTTTAGGGTTTAGGGTTTAGGGTTTAGGGTTTAGGGTTTAGGGTTTAGGGTTTAGGGCTCAAGGCTCAGGGCTCAGGACTCAGGGCTCAGGGTTATTTACGGGAAGGTTTAGGGGTCAAAGGGTTTAGGGGTCCAGGGTTTAGGATTTGAGGGCTGTGGGTGCGGGCCTTGGAGGGGGAGGCTGCGGGAAGTCATCTCAGCAGGGGTGAAGTGCTGCCTACCCTGAACCCTAAGGCCTGCTGCACCCCAAACCCTAAGCCCTAAACCCCAAACCCTAAACCCTAAACCCTAAACCCCGAGGATGTGGCTTCTTCACGGCTTTCTTGTCTTGTTTTTCTTGGCTGGACGCTAACACTTTACGCGCTTTCGCAGCTGCGCCCGCGGGGGTTCGTGGTGTTGTCAGATTTAGGGGTTAGAGTTTAGGGTTTAGGGTTTAGGGCTTAGGGTTTAGGGTTTAGGGTTTAGGGTTTAGGGTTTAGGGACCAGGGTTTAGGGTTTAGGGTTTAGGGTTTAGGGCTTAGATTGGATAGGGCAGCGAGCATCCCCGCACCAGGGTCTGTCTCCGAAGTCGGCCGCCCTTCCTGTGGGACACTGAGGATAAGCCAAAACGATGCCGACCAGGCCATCTGGGCTCCTAGAGGGCGGAATTACCCCGAAACCCGAACCCCTAAACCCTACTACACCCTTAACCTCCTCAACCCCATCCGAGACTTGCGAACCTGCATCCTGGGCGCAGGCATCCTTTTGGGGAAAGTATAGTGCTATAGAGGGGTTTAGGGTTTCGGGATCCTTCCATTCCTACGAGGTCCCTGTTTTTGAGGGGCGGGTTTCTGTGAGTGGTGCTCTGAACCGTTTGAAAATCACATATGAATAGGTTCCCTTGTGTAAGGAAAGAAGGGATATTAAGTACTATCCCAAAACACAACCCAATAATCCTGTATACCCTCAACAGGAACACACTACGAATCCCCAACCCCTCAACCCCTCAACCCCTCAACCCCTCAACCCCTCAACCCCTCAACCCCTCAACCCCTCAACCCCTCAACCCCTCAACCCCTCAACCCCTCCACCCCTCAACCCCTCAACCCCTCAACCCCTCAACCCCTCAACCCCTCAACCCCTCAACCCCTCAACCCCTCAACCCCTCAACCCCTCAACCCCTCAACCCCTCAACCCCTCAACCCCTCAACCCTCAACCCCTTCAACCCTACACCTTGAACCCTTCAGCCCCCCCAAAAAAAAACCCAAAAAACCCTCAACCCTACACCCCAACACCCTACACCCTGAACCCTTCAGCCCCCAAAAGACCCCAAAACCCTACACCCTGAACCCTTCAGGCCCCAAGAATAACCCGAAACCCTTTGACCCCCTAAACACCCTAAACCCTAAACCCCTAAACTGTGGCCAGGCACTGGGCTCTCCAATAGCCGCCCCCCAGGGCATGCAGGATTTTGCCTCCGCTTGGGGTTCAGGGTTTAGGGTTTAGGGTTTAGGGCTTAGGGTTTAGGGTTTAGGGTTTAGGGTTTAAGGTTTAGGGTTTAGGGTTTAGGGTTTAGGGTTGAGAGTTTAGGGCTTAGGGTTTCGGGCTTGGGGTTTGGGGATCAGGATTAGGGTTTGCGGGCTTTGGCCCTGTAGAAGCTCAAAAACCCTATAAACCCTATAGGCCCCACAAATTCGCATGGCCTTCTCAGCCCTTCAACGAACAAGGGCCTGTTCACCCTAACCCCGAGACCCTAAATCCTAAACCCTATACCCAAACCGGTGAGGAGTCTAGGGTTTAGGGCCCTGGGGACTGCCCCAGGGTCACCTCCAAACCCTACAGACCCGGCATGGCAGCGTTCCCCGGCAGAGGGCGCTCCGGGCTTCGCAAGAGCTACTCGGCTACACCTTGAACCCAGGATGTGACCTTAGGATCCAGGATTTTGGGGTTTAGGGTTTAGGGTTTAGGGTTTAGGGTTTAGGGTTTAGGGTTTAGGGTTTAGGGTTTAGGGTTTAGGGGGTAGGGTTTAGGGTTTAGGGTTTAGGGTCTAGGGTCTAGGGTCTAGGGTCTAGGGTCTAGGGTGAGGGTTCTCGCCGCCGGGCTTAGGGAAACGAGCACGGGACTGCCAAACCAACCTAAACTCTCAACCCCCTAAACTCGAAACGCCTACCACCCAGGGACCAGATGAACCCGAAAATTGAGGTCACACACCCTATACTGCTATACTTCCCGTTAAGGTTTATGAACCATAAACCCGTTTAGGGTTCATAGCATTCCTATTAAGGTTTATGAACCACATAACCCTGTGAGGCTTCATATTGCTCCCACTAAGGCTTACGAAGCCATAAACCCTTTTAAGGTTCCTTGGGTCCGCAAGGAGGTTCAAAGCCCTGGCCTTGTACCCGTGCTGCCGGTGTGAACGGAAGTATCGCTCGCACCTGCAGGAGGCGGATCGGAACCCTCTGTCATCCCGAACCCTACCTGGGACTCTCTCATAACCTACAGTTTAATGGGTTATACCTACAAATTAATGGGTAGCTAAACTGTAGGTACATAGAGTCCCAGTGAAACCGTATGGAAGAAGAATGCGACGCAGCCGTTCAGCATAACATGGAAGCGAATACGAGCGTATCACACTGCACCAGAAGCATTGTCACGCACCCACTCACTCCCACCCACCCACCCACCCATGCACACTAAACCCCAAACCCCACACCCTAAACCCAAAACCCCAAAACCCTAAACCCTAAACCCTAAACCCTCAACCCTAAACCCTAAACCCTAAACCCTTAACCCTTATTAGGCTTCCCTGCCTGCGGCGTCCAGATGGCAACCTGCCAGGGCCGAGGCCCTAGACCATCTCATCCCCTCCCGTGCCCCGAACATACAAACTCACTTGAAAGTTCATGGGCACAGGTTTAGGGTTTAGGGTTTAGGGTTTAGGGTTTAGGGTTTAGGGTTTAGGGTTTAGGGTTTAGGGTTTAGGGACATATTATAGTTCATGGGCACATATTTTTGTTCATGGGTACATATGACCTAGGGGCCTTAAGAATTAGAATGGGGTCTCGGGGAATGATTATTAGTAGTAGAAGTATTTTCGGACCCTGACACAAAAGGGTTAGAAAGTATTCCGACCCCTTCCCCTACTTAGAACCCTACCAAAAAAGTATCAATGAACCTCCAAGAAAGCCCTCCACCCTCCCTATGTACATTGCAGCCTGCGGGGTTTGAGCATTGGGGAAAGGGCCTCGGATCCTCCGCACCCCCCCCCCCCAATCTCGACACACCCCGACTTGCCCTGAGCCCTCCCTGGGGTTGGGTGCTTAAGTTACAAGCACGGTTAGCAAAACCCTAAATAAGGTTGTAACCAACTACAGCCCCAAGTTACCGTACTTAAAAACCCAGGCATGCAGGACCAGGGACCTCCAAGTAAGGCCTAAACCCTAAACCCGCAAGGTTCGGGCTAATGGATACCTATGTGAAGGGAGATAGGTACCTTAAATTAGGTTAGAACCATAGTTTCCCTACTTTTCACCCTGCTTCTAAGGTTCCCACATGAACCCCCAAGTAGACCCGACAAACGAAACCCTAAACCCTAAGCCTGCACATCGTCTCCAGGAAAGAGCGGGCGTTCGAGGAGGTACTCGGGGGCGACGGTCATCTGAGCTGGACGCTGAAGCACGCCCCTTTCAGGGTTTAGGGTTTAGGGTTTAGGGTTTAGGCTTTAGGGTTTAGGGTTTAGGGTTTAGGGTTTAGGGTTTGGGGTTTGGGGTTTAGGGTTTAGGGTTTAGGGTTCAGGGTTCAGGGTTCAGGGTTTAGGGTTCTGTGGTGGAGTCCAAGCACCCTGTGCATCCCATGCTTACACTCAGAAATTGCGCTCAGCAGCGCACACACACACACACAGAGACACACACACACACACACACACACACACACACACACACACACACACACACACACACACACACACGCAGACACAGTTCAACAAGGCTCTCAAGCGTACGCAAGCAATTACTAATGGAAACTAGTCACCCAAATGCGCGCCCCCAAAAGCCGAAGCTTGCAAAAAGACATCCCTTGCCAGTCAAAAGCAACTCAGAGTCTGCATGAAATACCGCCAAACCTTGTTCTTGGGACCTAACGATTCCGCATAATTCCCACACAAGCCATGAACGCCTGCAGCGCTCAAGCGAGTCAGACTCTTTTTTGTCCCGCTGAGCAGCATGTGCAAGTGCCCTTCGAGGGGGGCCCTGCTACACAGAGACACAGATTTTTTTGGGCACTCCCATCATGAACACTTTCCGTCTGAGCAAAAGTGGGAGTCGCACTCATCTTTGTTCGAACATGCGTCCCCGTTGGGCTTGAGCGCCTTCCCCGTCAACTTCGCTTGCACGTGCTCCTTGATTGCCTCCTTGTGACTGTGGCCCTGCTCCATCTCGTGCTCCTAACCAGGAGAGGGCTTCCTATGCAGGATAAGTCTGGGAATGGGCGAGCTAGCAGCCCTGCACCTAAACCTACATGAAACTCTCATCCTACCTACAGCTTCATGGGTTGTACTACTTAAGGGGCGGCCGTCTCCTTGATGCGAGAGCCAGCGACGATGGCGGCGGCATTGTCATTGTCATCGGTGCTCTCCTCCACGCGCGTGCTGGCTACCGGCGGCACCACACCCGTGGCAAGCAACGCCACGGCGATGAAGATGCTGCAACGAGCCACCATGGCTTCGCACACGTTGGGACTGCAAAGACTGAGTTTGGCAAGGCACTTGTGGCTCGATATGCTCAAGGCTGCGGCAGCCGGGCCGGTGGACAAGTACGTAACCCCGGACAGCATGGCGAAACGACAAATTATCATGTCTGCAGAGTCCGATGTGCTTTCTGGGTATTTGGAGGTTCAGGGTCCTTATAACCCCAATTAGAACTGTACTCAGAAGCCCCCTAAGTCCCCTAAGTAGTTTATAAGTAGACATATACTTGGGGTCACAAGTACCCATGAACCTCCAAGTAGAAATTTGGCTCCCCAACCCTGAGCATCCGGTGCTTACTCTCAGAAATTGTGTCCAGAAAGATCGCCGCGGGCCCTTCTAGCCTTGAGGAGTGAGGTAGGTTCTTCGACACCTTGCCAATGAGGGGCCTCCAAGCCCTAAACCCTAAACCCTAAACCCGCCACCCCACTCTCTTTTGGGGTAGGCGGGCGCTGGTCGAGCGCTCAGTGAGACCCTGCGAGGGAGCCCCAGGCGGGCGACCGAGCTGGCCTCCAGGCTGGCTTACCCTCCAGGCAGGCACAGGCCGAGTCAGCAGTTGTCACTGTATTATATTATATTACCCTCCTCAAGGTGTCCGCACACATGGTTGGGTCCTGCACTGGAGAGCCCCCTGGGACGGCCCCTTGAGACCCCTGGTCCATCACCCCCGTCCGCTGGGCTGAGGGACCAGGGGCCGTTTTTGTTGGGGCAGGCAGGGCTCTGGTCAAAAAGCCGGGGCCAGGGTTCTGGCCCTTGGACCTGGCCCTGGCTCTGGCCCTGGCCCTGGCCCGGCCTGGCCCTGGCCCTGGCCCTGGCCCTGGCCCTGGCCCTGGCCCTGGCCCTGGCCCTGGCCCTGGCCCTGGCCCTGGCCCTGCCCCTGGCCCTGGCCCTGGCCCTGGCCTGGCCCTGGCTGGCCCTTGGTCCTGTCCCTGGCCCGGAGGACCCTGTTGGCTTTTCGCAGCCGCAGCAGGAAGAGACATCCCGACGAGCCTGGCCCTGGCCCTGGCCCTGGCCCTGGCCCTGGCCCTCCCTGACCCTGATCCTGACCCTGACACTGACCCTGACCCTGACCCTCTGCCCTGACTAGTCTTGCGGCCCTGGCCCTGACCTCTGGCCTGTTCGAGTCATCTTACCCCCTTGCGCCAAGCCAAGCTGTCCGCGCACCAGTTTGTGTCCTGTTTCGGGGCTCTCCCTCTGGCTTTAGCCCCTTCGCGCCAACCCAATCTGTCCTGTCTCGCTTCCGTTTGCTGCAACTTTGTGCCTGGTCCTGACCCTGGTTCGGCACCCCACCTTACCCCGTTCGCGCCAAGCCAAGCTACCAGCCCTGTTTTCGTGGTTTTTTCGGTTAACCCAAGCTGTTCACTGTGTGTTCTTCCTAGCTGGAGCCCCTTCGCGCCAACCAAGCCTCGCTGCCTTTCTCTGTTCCTGGCCCATCCCTTAGCCCCTTCGCGCCAACCCAAGCTGTCTTCACGGACCCTGCCTCGTTTCCGTCTGCTGCAGCTTTGCGCCTGGTCCACGCACCTTGTGGAAATCCCCAAAAAGGGCGTGAGTGCTGACTCATGTGATGCTTTGTAAAAAAATAAAAGGTCTTTACTCCTTGAGAGTTGTAAGTGGGCGGTCTTGGGGTGGGTAGGTCTGCAGACTACCGCGCGCTCCCAAAGCGCGCTCCCGTCTGGCACGCCCTAAACCCTAAACCCTAAACCGCGGTTCTGTGGCGAGGCGAGCCTCAAGCCCATTTTGAGGGCTTTCCGGGCCTTGTGAGTTTCGGATCCTCGTACCTCGGGAACCCTAAGGAGGCTTACGCAGCCTCTGCGGGAGTTCTCAAAAAGATCCACCCCCCCTCCTCCTTTAGGGCTTAGCGTTAAGGGTTTCGGGCTTAGGGTTTAAGATTTAAGGTTTAGGGTTTAGGGTCTAGGGTTTAGGGTTTCGGGTTTGGGGTATAGGGTTGGGTTTAGGGCTTAGGGTTTAGAATGTTTTTCCTGCATGGCGAAGGGCTGGGCGGTTCATCTGGGAGAGCTGGTAGCTGGGCGGATACCCGTAGATGAGACCTTCCGTCAGGCTTCCTCTAGGGCTTTGATGTTATAAAACCTAAACCCTAAACCCTGAACCCTAAACCCTAAACCCGAAAGAAAACTTCCTCAACACCTGTGCCCAAACCCACAGCCCCTCAACCCGGGGAGGGTCCATGAATGATGTACCCTGAACCCTAAACCCTACACCCTAAACCCTAAACCTTAAACCCCTAGCCGTTTGGGACTGCGCAGGGTGTTCATTGCGTACCTCGCGCCTCGATCCCGGAAAAAAAACCCAAAGGCACCCTAGGCTACCCTAAACCCTAAACCCTCAAACCTCAACCTTGAACTCACCTTGACTCCGAAACCTCAACTCCCCCCCCCCCCCCGGTTTGTCCCAAACCCTGAAAATCAACCACCCATTCTTGACGCTTTGGGGTTTTGGGTTTAGGATTTAGGGTTTTAGGGTTTAGGGTTAGGGTTTAAAGCGGTTTCCGACATTGGGGGGGGGGGGGGGGGGGTGCCTCATTGGCGTCCTTAGTACAAGGAAATCCTACTATTTCTATTTTGGGGGGTCTACATTGGGAGGACCCCCTCATGTTCGTAAACCCCCTGTTGTGGTTCCAATTATGATGGCTACCGTGAGGATAAACCCTAAACCCTAAACCCTCAACCCTAAACCCTAAACCCTAAACCCTAAACCCTAAACCCTTGACCCTAAACTGTCCAAAAAAGCAGCCTATGCCCCGAGCACTGGGGATTGCCTTGAAGCCCTCAGCTAAGGATGTCGAGAGAACACAACTGACCCAAGAAGAAACACAGTGAAAAGTAGACTGGGGTTCTGAATACTCCTAAGGGTTGGGGTGTAGGGCTAAGGGTTTAGGGTTTTCAGGGTTGAGGGCTGAGGGTTAAGGATTTCGGGTTTACGGGGAATCGAGTTTCCGGTTTAGGGTTTAGGGTCCCTAAACCTTACACCGTAAACCCTAAACCCTAAACCCTAAACCCTAAACCCTAAACCCTAAACCCCTAACCCTAAGCCCTAACCCGAAACCCTAAGCCCGAAACCCGAAACCCCTCAGGGCGAACAAAGCCGACCTTCGACGGTCCAAATGCCGTTCTTGTACCCCATGCTCGTCCTCGTGGCGTGTCGAGGGTTTGGGTTTTCCAAGGTCGTTGGGCTTGGGGTCTAAGGTCTTAAGGGATCGAAGGGTTTAGGGTTTAGGGTTCAGGTTTTCAAGGTCTTTGGCCTTAGGGCGTAGGGTTTTGAAGGATCTAAGGGTTTAGGGTTTAGGGTTTAGGGTTTAGGGTTTAGGGTTTAGGGTTTAGGGTTTAGGGTTGTAGGGAGGGTTTAGGGTCTTAGGGGGTTTAGGTTAAGGTTTAGGGTCTGCGGATTCTGGGCCCAGGGTGGTGTAGGATTGACAGCTTCGGGTTTCCAGGAGCTCACCCTAAACCCTAAACCCTAAACCCTAAATCCTAAGAGAAGCCTTAGCCTGGTCGGCGCACGATTCCTAGCAATTTCTAAGGCGCGCTCATTGATTGAGGGGAGCTGGGCTCTCTGGGAGCCCACAGACACCCCTTGAAAGGGTTCAGGGTTTGAGGTTTTGGGTTTAGGGCTTAGGGTTTCGGGGGTTTAGGGTTAGGGTTTAAGGGTGTAAGGTTCAGGGTTTAGGGTTTAGGGTTTCGGGGGTTTAGGGTTAGGGTTTAAGGGTGTAAGGTTCAGGGTTGAGGGGGGCCAGATCTGATTTCAGGACCGTAGGGCCTTTCCTCAAGGAAGCCTTCGATACCAAAGGTGCCTACAAAGGGGATGCAACAGGTGCGCATAGGGTCTTCATGTCGAACAGCACCCCAAGCCCCAAACCCCAAACCCTAAACCCCAAACCCCAAACCCCAAACCCTAAACCCCAAACCCTAAACCCCAAACCCTAAACCCTAAACCCCCAAACCCCACCCCTAAAGGAAGACCCCTAAAAGAATTGCATCTTGGAGGCTGCTCGGGCTTGTACCGGACCAGGTTCCCCTTCTGAAACTTGCCCTGCCCTGGCACTGCCTCGGCTGTCCGTCCCTCATCTCGCTTCTTCTCGAGGGTATCCGAACCCTATAAACCTCAAACCTTAAAACCCTGAAACCTAAACCCTAAACCCTAAACCTCAAACCCTAAACCCTAAACCCTACACCCTAAACCCTACAGGTCTAGGGGTTGGGCCGCTTAAAGGCTGGTGGAAGGAGTTGTTCCGGGTGCCCCGAAGCCAAGCCGGGCGCTGGCGGGGGCGCATCCACACGCTCAGAAGCCCTTTCAAGGGTTTAAGGGGTCGAGGCAGTAAGGTTTCAGGCTTAGAGTGGGAAGAACTGTTGAAGACTTTGGAATCTCATGCTTCTGGTCCCTTATGGATATCCCAGCCAGGTTAGAAGCACGACTCAAGAACCGCCTAACCAAAGTTCAGAAAAGGTTGGGATTGGGCCCCTTCCACAGAGACCCCACGCCAAAAAAAAACACGGAAAAAGGCGTTTCTCCGTCAACCGCACCCCACCTGAAACTTCGGCTGCCGAAGAATAAGGGGGGCAAGCGGTTTACAATTAAAGTAGAGGAGCTGGCCTATACAATATTTCACTGGGCCTGGTGCTTAGCTGGGGCTTAGGGCTTCTTTTTTAATGGCTGCCAAGCGCATCCCAGACTCTTTGCGAACGTTGTAAACAATTCTGTGTGGCGCGTAGGCGCAGTCTCCAGATACAGTGCAAAGGTGGGGTGTTTTTCTAGGTGTTGTTTTAGGCCTAGTAGATCCTTTCTATCTAAAGGGTGGTGTTTCAGGATTTTCGTTGCATGGGCCTCCGTTCGTTCTAACCAATACCGCTGTGGGTGTCCCCTTCTGACTCCCTTGGTAAATTTGATTCTGTCCTTCCACCCTGGTGAGAATACTACGTGTCTTAAGGGGTTATGCGGCGGTGTAACCAAGAGTTGCGTTAGCTGTTTGAGCTGTTGCTTTATGAGTAGCTGTGCAGGGAGTACTGGTCTGTCTGCTAATTTCCATACCCGGGCATTTGCAATGCGGGAGTAATACGATGCGCGAATCCCCATGCTTCTGCGTAGAAATCTATGAAAGAAGGCATCAACGGTCTTTAGGTGTTTTAGTTCTAGTGTGAGGACGCCAAGGCCGTATACTAGTACAGGTAGTATGCAGGCCAGAAAGATGCGCACTTTTTCCTTCCTACTAAGTCTGCTACGCCATAGGTGTTGAAGTTTAGCATACGCTATTTGTGCTTGTGCCTTGCGGGCGTCGATGGCTGTTCTAGTGGGGGCTACCCAGCTGACTTGGGAGCCTAAATATTTGGCTTGAGTAACCTCCTTGACTGGCGTTCCATCCACGAAGTGGATGGGCTGGTCGGCGGTGTAATCCGATAGAAGTTCCGTTTTTTCTGTGTTTACTGTCAGGCCGTATAGTGTAGCTTCTACCTGTATCGCTTTTAGCATTTCTTCTGCCTGTGATCTTGTGACCGAGATAATCATGGTGTCGTCCGCGTACTCAATGTCGTAGACCGGGCGTCCTATCGACCAAGTGTTTGTCGGCACTCCCGTGGTCCGCAGTTTGGTGTCTACATCATTCATCAAAACTGTCATGAGCATAATAAATAAGTAAGGGCTGAGCGGGGCATCCCTGCCTGATACCCGTATGCGGTGTAGCCGTAACTGATCCTCCCCTAAAGCCTTTCACTGTGAAAGTTTGGGATGTAGATAGATCCTTCATGACTTCTAAATAGTGGCGGTGTACTCCGAGGCGTTCCAGTGCTATCAGCATGGACTCAAGATCTACCTTGTCGAAGGCCATTTTCCAATCCAGGAAGAGGAAGTGTAGCGGAGATCCTGTTTTGATGGATAGATCTTGTGCCTTTCTGATTATAAACAGCGGATCCTGGGTTGACCTGTTTGCACGGAAGCCATATTGTGTTTCTCGTAAATGGTTGTCGTGTTCTGACGCTGATCTTTTTTGCAGCATGGCGGTGTAGACTTTGTAGAGTGTGTTGAGTAATGAAATTGGCCTGTATGATGCGGGGTCTGAAGGTGATCCCTTGCCCTTGAATATGCTGACTATGTTTGCGGATTTCCAGTCCGCTGGAATTCGTTTTTCCGCGAAGCACTGATTTAAAAGCGCTGAAAGTCTGGTTTCATTTACGTGATCAAGGTGTTTAAGTAGTTCTGCTCCCACCCCGTCCGGCCCCGGTGCTTTGTCTTTGCGCAGTTGCCTTAGTACTGTGCCCAGCTCTTCGGGCTTAGGGCTTAGGGTTCAGGGTTCAGGGTGTAGGGCAAACTCGAACCCTAAACCCTAGACCCTAACCCTAAACCCTAAACCCTAAACCCAAACCCTAAACCCTGAACCCTAAACCCTAAACGCCCAAAGATCAAGTGGCTGTGGCCCTGGGAGCCAGCGTCGACTCGCTGGCGCTCCTCTCCGCCTTCTTTGCTGCCCCTTTAGGGTTTAGGGGCTACTCTGGGCTGGCTTCAGGGTTTAAAGCCTGCTCTGGCCTGGCTTTAGGGTTTAGGGCCTGCTCTGGGGGCTGGTTTTGGGGTCTGGGGCTTGCTCTGGTCCTCCTCTGTGCTGGTTTTAGGGTTTAGGGTTTAGGGTTTAGGGTTTAGGGTTTAGGGTTTAGGGTTTAGGGTTTAGGGTTTAGGAAGACTTAGTCTAGGCTAGTTTTCGGGTCTAGGGCCTACTCTGGCCTGGGTTTTCGGGTTCAAGGCCTACTCTGGGGTTGGCTTTGAGGTTTAGTGCCTGGTTTCAGGCCGACTCTGGGCGGACGACTACTGGGCATAAAGTGTTAAGGTCAAAACAAAAGGTACTTGAAGGTTCATGGTACTTAGTAACTAAATATAACTGTACTTATAACTGTACTTATAACCACATTAGGGCACTTAAGGGGCTTGTAAGCGGGTTATAAGTACAGTTATAGTTAGTTACTAAGTACCATGAACCTCCAAGTAACACATGTTCACAATTCTTTTGGGATCCGATGGGTGGGTGGGTCGATATTCGCTACCGGAGCAAGGAGCTCTACTAGTGAAATGCTTGGACTTGGGATGCTGAACCCTAAACTTAAACCCTAAACCCTAAACCCTAAGCCCTAAGCCCTAAACACTAAACCCTAAACCCCAACCCCCACGCCTCGACAATGGACATCTCGGCAGCATAGCGGCTCCGGGCTGCATCCTGCTACATTGTGGGGGCCTTGCCTACTTGGAGGTTCATGGGTACGCATAAGCAGGTTGATAAGTAGAGGGTTTAGGGTTTAGGGCTTAGGGTTTAGGGTTTAGGGTTTAGGGTTTAGGGTTTAGGGCTTAGGGTTTAGGGTTTAGGGTTTAGAGTTTAGGTTTAGGGCTTCGGGCTACTTGGAGGCTCATGGGTGCGCAAAAGCAGGGTCGTACGTAGGGAAACTACTTGGAGGAGCAGGGCACTCATAACCCTAACTAGAACCGGTACTTCTCAGCCCCCCAAAGTCCTCTAAGTAGGTTCTAAGTAGACCTATAATTTGGGCTAGAAGTACCCACGAACCTCCAAGTCGGGCTTTGAGGATTCAGGGGGAAAGGCCCAGGGCTGGTCGCTGTTGGTATGCCTGCGAAGCGTCACATACCTCCTCACAGCTATCCAAAGCCATCGTCCGAAAAAAATACCCTTACATCTCTAAACCCTAAACCCTGAACCCTAGACCCTAAACCCTAGACCCTAAACCCTGAACCCGAAACCCTACACCCTAAACCCGATAAACCCTAGACCCTCCCATGTCTTAGTCCTGGGCCAAGTAGATGGTGATTCGGGGTTTGGGGGAACTTCTCGGCCCAAAAAAACCTACGGCCTATAAACCTTGGTCCACAAACACGAAGCCGCAAAACCCATAAATCCTTGAACTCTCAACCCTAAGCCCCAAAACCCTCTAAACCCCTAAACCCTCTAAGCCCCTGAACCCTAAGCCCCTAAACCCTAAGCCCCGAAACCCGAAACCCGAAACCCTAAACCCTAAACCCTAAACCCACCCAAATACCGTCCTGCAGCTTCTGGTTGGCGGAGTCGCGCTGCGTCCGTACCTCTCGTTTTCGGGCCACGGCCCCGGAAGGTCCCCCCACCGGAGCAACCCTGGGTTGAGGGGTTGAGGGTTAAGGGCTTGGGGGTTTTTGGGGTTTAGGGGTTTAGGGGTTTAGGGGTTTAGGGGTTTAGGGGTTTAGGGGTTTAGGGGTTTAAGGGGTTTAAGGGGTTTAGGGGTTTAGGGGTTTTGGGGTTTTGGGGTTTTGGGGTTTTGGGGTTTTGGGGTTTTGGGGTTTTGGGGTTTTGGGGTTTAGGGGTTTAGGGGTTTAGGGGTTTAGGGGTTTAGGGGTTTAGGGGTTTAGGGGTTTAGGGTTCAGGGGTTGGAGGTTGGGGGTTGGGATGTTCCCCCCTACACTAACAGTCCTTGATAGGGATTCCAGGCGTTCATACTAAGGCCCTATTGAGGCTGTTGACGCGGTCTTACGTACTGGTTGCTAGTGAATGAATGAAGCAGTGGGGACTACTAACTTTTACTTTTCCGTTCCCTGAACCCTAAGCCCTTGTGTTTGGGGATTTTAGTAACCCTAGCAACCCTCAACCCTAAACCCTGAAGCCTAAACCCTAAACCCTAAACCCGAGTAGCCCTAAACCCTACACCCTAAACCCGAAAGGCGCGCCTGGTGCATCTGCTGCTCATGCTTGCGCAGGGCTCTGGCAGCTTTGTCCCTCTTGATCGTGAGGTTTGTCACGCCCTGGCTTGAAGGTTCACTTGTTTAGGGTTTAGGGTTGAGGGTTGAGGGTTTAGGGTTTAGGGTTTAGGGTCTATAGGGTTTAGGGTTTAGGGTTTTGGGAGTAGGGTAAGTAGGGTTATAAGTACCTAAAGCAGGTTACAGTCATAGTTTTCCTAGTTCGCACCCCATAACCCTAAATAAACTCTAAATCGCATGATGAGGTATGTCCCCGCGGCTTGGTCTTTCTTTATTCCTCTCAATCGATATAATACTTCTTAAGTATTGAATATCCTACTCAAAGGCTTCATACATTTCAGGCAAACCCTTTCCAGAGGTATAGGACTCCATGACCTAGAGCCCGCAAACCTGAAACTCAAACTCTCCCTAAACCCTCTAAACCCCAAGCCGGAGATCTTTCCGCCTCGAAATTCTAGGGGTTCTACCTTGAACCCTTAAGGTTGTACCCCTGGGTTTGGGAGGTCCTTTTGAAGGATCCTTGAGGGAATATACGGACCATATGAGGAGTATGATAAGGGGAGCCTTTCGGGGAACAACCTTAGGGGTACGAGTCTTCATCCCTTGAGAAATGGTCCTGAATCTGTGTTCCAAGCGCGCTCCTTAAGTAAACGGTATTGCTACGCGCGCTCGTCCGCCCTCAGTAGTAGGAATTGTACACGGCCGCAGGCGCTATCCCCACTACTTGCTTCAGAATCTCCCCCCCAAAAAAAAAACAGATAATCCCCATATTGCCTTCCACGGTTCTTTAGGTGGTTCTTGGGCAGAGAGTAGATCCCAGGATGGAACGGAGCACGGGCATTCCGAAGTTGTCCGAAACAGGAAAAAGGACCGGACGGTGGTCTCGTCCGCGGCCAGCCGATGCAGGACGGCCCACGCATTCTCGCGTCGGAGAGCGACGCTGAGGAGTTGCAAGAATGGTTGAAATTTAAGGCAGCGAGGCCCTTCCACACCTTCACATTTTGGCACCCCCAAGCACCACACGCTTCAGCGACAAGGGGGAAGGAACTGGAGCCCTTGGGCGCGGCTGCTGCGCGGCAGTAGCCCGTCTGCTGCGGAAGCAGCAACTGAGGACAGCGACCGTCAGGTTGAAATTGGGCGGGCCACGCAGCCCCAACCCAGGTAGGGACGCGTGCATCAGCAAAGCGTCGGGCACTGGCGTCACGGCCACCTCGTGCCGCACGACTCCTTTGGCCGTGCAAGGAGAAGGCTGGACTTTTCGACTTCCGGGCTGAGGCCGACCGCAGCACACGTCTCAGGCGGCTGTGGTGCTTGGAACGGTCGCCACGTGCGAGCGTGGTCCCCGAACCTGTTGTTGCAAAGTGGGCAGAAGCCATTCCGAGGAGGCAACGGGTCAGTACAGACGAAGCCGGAAAAGGACCTGGAAAAAATAGTGAGGCGCAACGCGTTTTTCCAGCGCCTCGAACCCCCCTGAACCCTGTGGAGGGCTGAAAAAACCCCCAAACCCCTAAAGCCTCTAGAGCCCCAAAGAAGGAGAAGAAAAACAATAATCCCCTAAACCCTAAACCCTAAACCCTAAACCCTAAACCCTAAACCCTAAACCCTAAAGCCTAAACCCTAAACCCTAAACCTTAAACCCTAAGCCGGATCTTCGATGTCCGCCTTCAGAGCTCCGCAGTTCAAGCTTGAGGCGTCGCCAGGATCCTTGCAACCGTTGGGGCGCTCGGGGGGGGCTCAGCAGGAGCCACGGGGGTTGCGAGGTGCAAGGGCCGTATGGGGGTTTACGAAAATACGGGGATATCGACCCCCCAAAGAGTAGGATCCCCTTCTCATTACTGTGAGGCCCCCTAAATTTCGGAAAGACTCCCTTTTGTCCTCTCTCAAGGGCCATCCTTCAACCCCATCCTGGTTTCTTGTGAGTTCAGGGCTTGGGGTTTCGGTTCGGAGCTTAGGGCTGCGGATTTAGTGCTTGGGGTTTTGGCCTTCTGACAAGGACGAGCTGGTTAGCACGACATACATGAAGATCAACGATACATAGCCACCGACGATTGTAGGGTGTCCTTCATCGACGAGGAGCCTAAACCCTGGATGCTGAGTCCATGAGGCACCTGTACAAGAGCACCTGAACTATAGTTGCAATAGGGGTTGGGGTTTCATGTGGGGAGGGACGGGGGGCCCTAAACCCTAAACCCTAAACCCTGGGAGGGGGAGGGGGGGGGGTGGGACTCACCATTCCGTAAGGGCCCGATTAACATCACATTATGGGGCGACTTGTGGGCCGGGGCGGCAAAGGCGGCTTAGCAACATCTAAACCCTTCACCTAACCCCAGCTGTTCCTTCAAAACAAGCCCTAACTCCAAACCGCAAACCCTTCTTAAACACCTCTTAAACACTTACGTATCCCTCGCCCCAAGCTCCAAACCTTGTACCTGATCCCCCTAAACCCTAAACCGTAAACCCTAACCCTGAACCCTAAACCCTAAACCCGCCCTGCCTCCTCCTCCTCTTCCTGCTCCTCCTCCTCATCATCGCCGCTCTCTGCAGGGGACCCGATCGCCTCAAGCCGAACCACCCGCATTCTTCCCAGACTTGGGAGGACCAAAAAATAGAACCCCCAAATGGTACCCTTTTCTACTATTGGGTCCAAAAAGCAGAACCCCCAAATAGTACCGGTACTACTATTGGGTCATTCTTACGATTCCTGAAAGGGATCTACTTTTTGGATCCTGCCAGGCGTCTGGGTTTCAACACACGCAATGGAAGTACAGAGGGCTTCAGAAGCCGAAACCCTCAACCTGACTTGAAGGTTCATGTGGGTAGTTTGGGGTTTGGGGGTTTGGGGGTTTAGGGTTTAGGGTTTAGGGTTTAGGGTTTAGGGTTTAGGGTTTAGGGTTAGGGTTTAGGGTTTAAGGTTGAGGGTTTAGGGTTTGGGGTTTAGGGTTTAGGGTTTACGGTTTAGGGCTACTTGAAGGTTCATGGGGGGGTACTTATAAGTCGGGGTATATAAGTACCCTAATAAGGTTACAACCATAGTTACCCTAAGTAGGGTAAAAAGTAATCCAATAAGTTTACAACCATAGTTACCCTAAGCTAGGCTATAAGTACCCTAATAAGGTTATTACCATAGTTACCCAGGTGTAACCCTACTTAAACCCTGAACCCCCCGAACCGTAGGGTTTTTTGGGTTTAAGGGCTTAAGGTTTAAAAAAGGGGCCTTAATGATTAGAATTAGTTTTGGGGGATACTCCTAGTAATTATTCCAACCCTACATTAAGGAGATTCATGGGTATTTATAACCCCAATTATAAGTCTACTTATAACTTTCTTGCGGGAACTTCGGGGGCTTTTCAGTGCAGTCATAATAGAGGTTACAAGTACGCTGAACCTCCAAGTAGGGTTTAGGGTTTAAGGGTTTCGGATCCCCCCTCAACAACTTAATTAGGCTTAACCATCCCAAAATCCCTAAGTAGCCTGAATTCTGGGGGGAGCCTAGGGGGGGTAGTATATGTAGAGGGGGGTGGCAGGGGAAGCCACGATGTAAGGTCTTAGCGTCACCCTAAACCCTAAACCCTAAACCCTAAACCCTAAACCCTAAACCCTAAACCCTAAACCCTAAACCCTAAACCCTAAACCCTAAACCGTAACCCTCCACCCTAAACCGTCATCCTGGAAACCCAAAGATCGCTGGCTCCCCAGCCTCGTCCTCGCTGCCGAAGAGGGCATCGAGAGGCTCGAGGTCGCTCAAGTCGTCGCCGAACATGCCGACTTCAGGGGGCCTTCGGGTTTAGGGTTTAGGGTTTAGGGTTTTAGGGTTTAGGGTTTAGGGTTTAGGGTTTAGGGTTTAGGGTTTAGGGTTTAGGGTTTAGGGTTTAGGGTTTAGGGTTTAGGGTTTAGGGTTTAGGGTTTAGGGTTTGGGTTAGGGGGTTTAGGGTTTAGGTTTAGGGTTTAGGGTTTAGGGTTTAGGGTTTAGGGTTTAGGGTTTAGGGTTTAGGGTTTAGGGTTTAGGGTTTAGGGTTTAAGGTTTAGGGTTTAGGGTTTAGGGTTTAGGTTTAGGGTTTAGGGTTTAGGGTTTAGGGTTCAGGGTTTAGGGTTTAGGGTTTAGGGTTTAGGGTTTAGGGTTTAGGGTTTAGGGTTTAGGGTTTAGGGTTTAGGGTTTAGGGGATCTTTGCTGGAAGTTCTCAACGTTTAAGAGTCGATAGGTTCCGTGGCTATCGGGTTTAGGTGGCGCGCCATGATTCCCAAACCCCTCCAGCCCTTCCACCCTGGAATAAAAACAGAGTTTAGGGTTTAGGGTTTAGGGTTTAGGGTTTAGGGTTTAGGGTTTAGGGTTTAGGGTTTAGGGTTTAGGGTTTAGGGTTTAGGGTTTAGGGTTTAGGGTTCAGGGTTTAGGGTACCCTAACGACGCCCCCGCCACCCCACCCTCCCTCGAAGTGTTTAAGTTTGGGGTCCACCTGAACCCGAAACCCTACAGCCCGATGATTCCCCCGAGGCCGCCGCTGGGGCTCGTACTCCCAGTATGGCCAGACGCCCTGGATGCCCAGCATGCTCAGGTCGCACGATTGCATGTCTTTTACCACATGACCCCTCTACCACGCCGCGGCTCCCGCGGATCACCGCAATGCACCAATGCGAGCACCAATTTTTCTATGCGATCACCACACAAAAGTCACCAAGAAGTCCCCTGCCAGTGTTCTCTAGCAGCTCCGCGCACCAGCACAAGTTGCGTTGTTGACGCAGGATCGCCGGAAGGTGCCGAGGACAACTGAGGACCCAACGGCCATGGGCTTGGTGAGCTTCACTGCCTCGTAGTGCCGCGCCTGGCGCCGAGCGTTGCCACCAGAGCTCCGGCCAAACCTAAACCGTTTGCCGCAAACCCGAAGCCCTAAACCCCAGACCCTGAACCCTAAGCCCGAAACCCTAGACCCTAAACCTTCCTAACAATTAAAGCCTTCGCGAAGAGCAGGGCAGGTGCGGCCGGCGCTGAGAGCCCCCGGCTGGGTCGAGGATGTTTCAGCTTCAGTGTCTTTGTTGGGCTTTGGGTTTAGGGTTTGGGGTTTACGGTTTGGGGTTTAGGGTTCAGGGTTTGGGGATTAGGGCTTGGGGCTTAGGGCCTGGGATTTAGGGTTCCAGGTTTTGGGTGTGGGGTTCTTGGGTTTGGGGTTTTGGGTTTGGGGGCTTTCGAAATCCCATAGAATCAAGAGGGCGAGGCCGGTTCGGGGCTTCCCGAAAGGGGAATTAGGATTTCGGGGGCTTCTTGAACAAGGATTTGGGGTTGTAATAAGCTTGCCTGGGGTTAAAAAGATGCTCCTGTTCCTAAGGTGCAGAAGGGGGGGGGCGTGAAGGTCCGCAGGCCCTGAACCCTTAAGTAAGCCTCCAGGAAACCCCTGGACTACACCCACAACATCGAAGCCCAAAACGAACGAAAACCCTGAACCCTAAATCCTAAACCCTAAACCCTAAACCCCAAACCCCAAACCCCAAACCTGCATGAAGGCTTGGGTTTGCAGATACGAGTAGCGGGTTTAGGGCTTCGGGATGTAGCCTGAATCCCTCAACCCTAAGCCCCACAACCCTAAAAGCCCGAACCTTACACCTTACCAGGCCCTAAACTGCATACCCCGCCCTAACCCTAAACCAGGCAACCCTAAGCCAAGAAACCCTAAACCCTAAGCCCTGAGCAAAGCCCGAACCCCACAAACCTGAGCCGCACACTGGGTCTAGAAACCTGAGCGCACGCCCCGGGCACATTTTCTGCACAGCTCGGGTCAGCCGAAGGCCGTGAGCCTAAACCCCCAAGCCGAAATCCGATTTGCAGCATGTAGGGGTTTGGGGTTCAGGGGTTTAGGTGTTAAGGGCTTAGGGTTTAGAGTGAGGTCCCAGGTGGGTCAGGGGTAGGTAAAGGTACCCTCTAAGCCCTAAGCCCAAACGTTATCTACGACTTGTACAGGGAACGACACACCTCAAGTCGACGCGAAGATCAGACGTCCCAGATCCCACCCGCCACTCTCACTTGATGGTGCGCTTCCTCGGAAGGGTAAGGTTTAGGGTTTGGGGTTTCGGGCTTCGGGTTTAGGGTTTAGGGTTTCGGGTTTCGGGTTTCGGGTTTAGGGTTTAGGGTTTCGGGTTTAGGGTTTAGGGTTTAGGGTTTCGGGTTCAGGGTTTGGTGGCTTCGAGCTGCCAGCAGGGGACCGGAACTTCGGAATGGACCTAGAGCTAAGACCGTAGAGCGTGAAAATTCTTGGATCTCGACTCACAACTGAGCGTGCGGTGAAGGCTTGGGTGTTGTTGAGCTTCTTAGTTTGGAGGGGGCAGCGGAGGAGGGGAGGCTTAGGGCTTTAGAGCTTGAAGGTTTAGGCGCAGCAGGTTTTGGGGGCCAGGTTTAAGGGGGCCAGGCTCAGGGAAGTTTAGGGCTTAGGGCTCAGGAACCCCTGGCATTCCGAAAACCCTTGAATTCTGAGTCCCTCAACCCTACACCCAAAAAAACTCGAAGCCCCTGAGGCCGAAGACCAAACCCCAAAGACCCTCCGAACCCGAAAACAAGCTCACCTCACACCCTAAGCCCCCTCGGAAAACATAAACCCTAAACCCTAAAACCCCAAAACCCGAAAACCCGAAAACCCTAAGACCCTAAAACCCTAAACCCTAAGGCTCCACTTGTTGCCGTCTTCAAAGAGGATGCCATCACCGTCCCACTTGCCCTTCAGATTCTTGGGACCACCCTGGCAGGGCGCTGTGTTTTTGTATACTCATCTCACCACTGGCCAATGACAGTCATACAAGCCATACATAACGGAAGGTTTTGAACTTTTTTGTTTTTTTTTTTGGGGGGGGGGGGGGGGGGGGCGGAGGGGGCAGGCCTTGGGTTGAGGGTTTTCAGGGGCTTCCCAAGCCCCTGAAACATCTGGGAACGGGAAATCGACCGTCTATCCTCTCAAAACTTTGAAAACAGGCTCAGAGGGACCGAGGTCATGCTGCTTTGGGGTTTCAGGTTGGTGAAAAAAACAAGCGACAGGCTGGGCTGCACCTGTGGCAGGGGGCTTAACACAACTACGCTCGACTGCGATTCGATTGCCCTCAGACTCCCACTAAGCCCACAACGGACCTAAGGCTAGAGAAAAAGGCCACAAAGTAAGGCCTAAGCACCCTAAACCCCAAAGTCCCCAAAGCTCAGAGAGCCTAAACCCCAAGCCCTAAGAAGATGACTTGAGCAAGAAGGTCCTCTTGACCAGGTTAAGGCCTAGCAGGAAGTCCTTCGACAGAGCATCCCTCCCAAGAAGCAAAAGCCTGCGAATTTGGGAACCCTCAGCCATAAACCTCATACCGGCCTAAACCCGAAACCCTAAACCCTAAACCCTAAACCCTAAACAACCAGCTGCCTTCTTGCTGAAGTCGAAGATCATGGTGTCGGCGCCCTTCACGAAGCTGGGTGTGATCTCAGCGCGTGCAGACAGCTCGCAGAGGGCAAGGAGGAGAAGTGAAAAGCTGAAACCTCCCTGGGTGTTTGGTTTAGGGTTTAGGGTTTAGGGTTTAGGGTTTAGGGTTTAGGGCTTAGGGCTTAGGGCTTAGGGTTTAGGGTTTAGGGTTTAGGGTTTAGGGTTTAGGGTTTAGGGTTTAGGGTTTAGGGTTTAGGGTTTAGGGTTTAGGGTTTAGGGTTTAGGGTTTAGGGTTTAGGGCTAGGGTTTAGGGTGAGTAGTATGGGTGACGGGTGTAGGGCACTCAAGGTTGCTTTCGCCGAGACGGAAGTCCTGAATGAACCTTACACCCTACACCCCAAGCCAACCCCCGAACCCTACACACAAAAAAGGGTCTAGGGTTTAGGAACTAGGGTTTAGGGTTTAGGGTTTAGGGTTTAGGGTTTAGGGTTTAGGGTTTAGGGTGTGGGGATTAGGGCTGAGGGTTTTAGGGTTTAGGGTTGAGGGTTACGTGCATCATGGACCACCAGCCTCACGAACCCTGAAACCTACCCAACCCACCCACCCCCAAACGAACAACAACAAGAGACATGCAACCTTGAGCCCCAAACCCTAAACCCTACGAACGTGCCTTTGACCCGAACCTATCAAACCCTGATCCCTAAACCCTAAACCCTAAACCCCAAGCACCCAGAAGCCGCATGGTTTGTGGTCTTCGAAGATTATGGAGGCAAGAGTCCTGGGTAACTATAAGGATTCAAAAGCGTCTAGCTTCAGGGTTTAGGGCTTTAGGTGTTTTTAGGGTTTTTTAGGGTTTAGGGTTTTGGGGGCCGTAAACCCTAAGCCCAAAAAGAACCCTAAACCAGAGCCCCTAAACCCCGAAACCCCTGAACCCCTAAACCCCTAAACCCCTGAACCCCTGAACCCGTGAACCCCTAACCCCCTGAACCCCTGGACCCCTAAACCCCAAAACCGGTAGCCCTTAACCCTAAACCCTACACCCTAAACCCCAAATCCCAAACCCCAAACCCCTAAACCGTTTAGGGCTTCTGTGAGGGAACCGTCCAAGGTGCCCTCCAGCGCTTTCCCAACTTGCTGCCCTGGCCGAGGCAGCCTCCAGCTCAGGTGTAGCCCTAAACCCTAAACCCTCAACCCGAAACCCTAAACCCTAAACCCTAAACCCCCCTAAACCCCCTAAACCCCCTAAACCCCCTAAACCCCCTAAACCCTAAACCCCCCCCCCCCCACCGCAACGTCGGCTGAGGGAGCAGTGTAGGGCTTAGGGTTTAAGCTTTCGGCGTGATGGACCGGGGGGTTAAGCACGGCTACTGATACAAGCAGGGTTATAAGTACCCGAAGCAAGGGTAGAACCAGAGTGACCCCACTTGTAACTCGACTTACAAGTACAGTACCCCTAAACCCGAAACCCCAAACCCTAAACCCTGAACCCTCAACCCTCAACCCTGAACCCTCAACCCTCAACGACTTACAAGTACAGTACCCCTAAACCCGAAACCCTAAACCCTAAACCCTACACCCTAAACCCTGAACCCTCAACCCCAACCCTACGTGTAAGCCTAAGCGCCCCATGGCCTGGGTTTCCATCGGCGCCCTCCACCTTTCTGTCAGGTTGGGACTCCGAGGTCTCGAAGGGCCCATGTTTGGGGTTTAGGGTTTAGGGTTTAGGGTTTCGGGTTTAGGGTTTAGGGTTTCGGGTTTAGGGTTTAGGGTTAGGGTTTCGGGCTTCTTGGTCTCAGAGGGTTTAGAGCTTTAGGCGCGTGTAAGGCTTCTGGGACGCATAGGAGCTAGTGGGGTTTATAAGGTTAATGGGACTCTTATGCCTTAGAGGCTGTAGGGCGCGTGTTAGTAAGGCTTCTGGGGCGTGAAGAGCTTCCACAGTTTATAAATGGGCTTCACGTAAGTTTGACTACCACTCTGTTCCGGGCATCTGTGAAATGGATGCAGAAACGATGCCGGATGCAGTACTGTAAAACAGCCCCTAAACCCTTAAACCCTAAGCCCCTCAAAAACAGCTGCCAATGCCCTTGAACACGCCCAATGCTCTTGCTAAAGCTCCGCTCCGGCCTGCACCGGGCCGTTCCCGTCCTCGTCATAGGTGATCTTCCTAGGGCAGCCTAGGCCGGTGCGTTGCTAGGGCTTAGGGTCTATAGGACTGGCTAGGTTTAGGGTTTAGGGTTATAGGTCGCAGAAGGACTCTGTTGAATTCGGCAGTTCCAAAAAGCAGCTCCAGAGCCCTTTGCAAGCTTGCTAGCTCCGCTCTTCAGACTCTTCAGCTCCCCCTTGGGGCTGGTCGAGAGAGGGACGTTGGGCCTTTGCCCAACTTGTGCGATGGCCGCCCCCTGCGGGCACATCATGCAATAAACGGACTTGTCGAGCTCCGTTGAAACACTCAGATACACTCAGTCTGGTTGCTAAGTTGATAAAAGCATCCTATACAGTATGCCATAGTATGCCTGCTGCAGGCAAGGCTGCAGGCAAGGCTGTTGGGCATCGAGATGTTCTGTACATTGCCCAGCAGGACGTGAGGATCCCTCTCCATTTGTGCCGGGGCCTGACGTAGCAGGCAGCCCGCCTGTTGCTGCTCAAGCGGATCGGGATGACAGTCCTACCGGCCGCCGCACTTATACGAGAGTTTCCAAGACCTTGTAAGCCTTTCGTTCCGGATTTCCCACCCTAGGAGTACACCGTCTCGTTGCACCCTTCTGTCCGGAAACTCCCGCATCGCAGCGCAGCGCATCGCTACCTCACACCGTCACATTCTCAGGCTCTTCAGTCGGGTGCAGCCAGTCGTGGAACATCCTGGCAGTTCTCCCGAGTTACAGCAGAAGCAACCACCCACATTCATCTTCGCGCAGATGCTTAGCACACAAAAACTGGATTCCAAAATACCAATGGCCGAGCATCTGGGTGATCTCTTCCAGGCTCTTGTCCTTGGTCTCTGGAAGGGACACGGCGCACAGCAAGCAGAGCATGTTCGTGCCCACGAAGACCTTAGCTGCACTTCGATGTTGAAACACCATCCTGCCTTGCAGAAAAGACTTCCAAATCCAAGAGGCCCAGAAGGTGTTGAAGCCCCAATTCGAGAACAGGATCGGGGGCAGGAAGGCGATCACGATCTTAGCGCACGCGCGGGACTCTGCTAAAAATGGGGAACCCTTCTTCTAAAGCTAGACTTCCCGGATGTCTTCATGGCAGCTTCACTCAGCTATAAGCTGGACTGAGGCCGGCGCGTTGCCGATCCAGTTTGCATCGGTGGTCGCCCCGACGCCCTTGGTGCGGTGCCTCATGGGGAACATCTCAGCGCAGTAGACCCAGGCCATTCCTCCCCAGCCATAAGCGAAGTTCACGATGAAGCCGCAGATCGTCAGCGTGGCCACCCACTTTGCCCAGTCGCCACAGGCGTCCTCCTCCTCCACGAAGCAGACATCGCCCAGGGTGGCCAGCACGGCCGAGCAGAGCATCATGCCGATGGCAGACCACTTCATGAGAGCTGTGCGGCCACAGCGGTCGACCAAGAAGAGCCCCGGAACGGTGGCAAAGATGTTGACCACGCCGGACACCACCGTGAAGAGCCTGCCCGCGTGCTCGCTTTTGAAGAGCCTCTCAAAGATCATCGGCCCATCATACATGAAAGCGTTCATGCCGCAAAGCTGCTGAAGCAGCTGGATGCTCAGCCCAATGCACAGGAGCTTGCGGCTGTCCCCTGACAGGAACTCCCCCCAAGTCGCCTGTCCAGCAGCGGACTCCGCCTCATGCTCCTGGACGATCTGCGCCAGCTCCTCGCGCACGTCCTCCTTGCGCAGGGCGCGCAGGGTCTGCAGGGCCTCCTGGTTCTTGCCCTGGGCGACCAAGTACCGAGGAGAGCCCGGCATGAACGCGCCGCCAACAACCAGCAAGGCACCCGGGACGATCTGAGACGCGATGACCCAGCGCCAGCCGCCGAAAGGCTCCTCCACGTCCTCAAGGACCAGCGCCAGGAGGAAAGCAAGCCTTGTGTGCCCGTGGTGTCAAGCGGAGACTCCAGAACAAAATTCTGAACACAAAGCCTCGGAATACTCTCGAAGGGAAGAGAAGCCCAAAAGATCCTAAAACTCTGCCAGAGAGCATGATGCCCACCGTGATGGCAAACTGGAAGCCGGTCACGAGGGCGCCCCGCAAGTGGGGAGGAGCGATCTCGCTGGTGTAGACCGGGGCGTTGCCGGACAGCAGGCCAACCGAGAAGCCCGCGATGACGCGGCCGGCCACCATGAGGGCCAGGTTGCACGCAACCGCCTGCATGGCGGAGCCAAGGCAGAAGATCGCTCCGCCTGCAATCACCGCACCCTTGCGGCCCAAGCAAGTCACGGAGGCGTCCATGACGGGCGGGAAAGCGGCGACGGCGGCCCCGATGCCGAAAACCATGGTCACCACGCTGTCCTGGACATCCGTAAGAGGCTGGCCACCCAGCACGTCCTTGGAGAACGATGCCATCGACTTCACCTGGGATTTGCAAAGGAAAGACGAAAACCACCCCAAGGAAGGAATCTTGATGAATCTTGCTACCCTGAGACGAGCTCTGTTCAACAGTCGTGCAAGCAGATCTCATACGAGTACATACGAGCACCTCGCCAGCAAGGCTCATTGCTGAAAGTTCGCTAGAATACGAACTTGAACGCATCCCGGCGGCTCCGGCAATGTAGCCGATGTCCAGGCCCATCAGAAGGCCGGCGAGGGAAGAGAAGACGGCCGCCGCCACGACCATGAGCAAGCCGCCGTGGCCCTCGCAGTCTTTCTCCTGGATGCCGGCGCGGGCCATGACGTCCGCAACCTGCTCCGTGGACAAGGCCGCCTTCTTGGCCTCCGCCACCGCGACCGGCGCCATGGGGACAGAGTTCGAGGATGGGAGGCAGTGAGGGAGTCTTTGGGAGCCAAAGATGCTGGCAGGATTCTCAAGCATGCACCCGGCAAGAGTTCAAATGCCATTGGGAAGTGGCATGCCACCCTGAAGCGGCACTGCTTGCCACCCTTATTGTGGGTTCAGGGTTTAACTTCGGCTGGAGCCCGCGAGAGTTGACTGCCGAGGAAAGGGGTAAGGCAAAAAGGAGCTGCTTCATGTGCTACCCTTTCGCAGCACTAGAACATAAGATGTACTTGAACATGTAAACAGGAATGCCAATCGGATGGGCTTTGGGCGCTCCAGGTCAGAGGTTCCAAACGCAGCATGTGCAGCTCCAGAGCCCTTTGCAAGCTTGCCTAGCGCCGCGCTTCAGACTCTTCAGCTCCCCCTTGGGGCTGGTCGAGAGGACGTTGGGCCTTTGCCCAACTTGTGCGATGGCCGCCCCCTGCGGGCACATCATGCAATAAACGGACTTGTCGAGCTCCGTTGAAACACTCAGATACACTCAGTCTGGTTGCTAAGTTGATAAAAGCATCCTATACAGTATGCCAGCTGCAAGCAAGGCTGCAGGGCATCGAGATGTTCTGTACATTGCCCAGCAGGACGTGAGGATCCCTCTCCATTTGTGCAGGGGCCTGACGTAGCAGGCAGCCCGCCTGTTGCTGCTCAAGCGGATCGGGATGACAGTCCTACCGGCTGCCGCACTTATACGAGAGTTTCCAAGACCTTATACTGTAAGCCTCTCGTTCCGAATTTCCCACCCTAGGAGTACACCGTCTCGTTGCACCCTTCTGTCCGGAAACTCCCGCATCGCAGCGCAGCGCTACCTCACACCGTCACATTCTCAGGCTCTTCAGTCGGGTGCAGCCAGTCGTGGAACATCCTGGCAGTTCTCCCGAGTTACAGCAGAAGCAACCACCCACATTCATCTTCGCGCAGATGCTTAGCACACAAAAACTGGATTCCAAAATACCAATGGCCGAGCATCTGGGTGATCTCTTCCAGGCTCTTGTCCTTGGTCTCTGGAAGGGACACGGCGCACAGCAAGCAGAGCATGTTCGTGCCCACGAAGACCTTAGCTGCACTTCGATGTTGAAACACCATCCTGCCTTGCAGAAAAGACTTCCAAATCCAAGAGGCCCAGAAGGTGTTGAATCCCCAATTCGAGAACAGGATCGGGGGCAGGAAGGCGATCACGATCTTAGCGCACGCGCGGGACTCTGCTAAAAATGGGGAACCCTTCTTTTAAAGCTAGACTTCACGGATGTCTTCATGGCAGCTTCACTCTATAAGCTGGACTGAGGCCGGCGCGTTGCCGATCCAGTTTGCATCGGTGGTTGCCCCGACGCCCTTGGTGCGGTGCCTCATGGGGAACATCTCAGCGCAGTAGACCCAGGCCATTCCTCCCCAGCCATAAGCGAAGTTCACGATGAAGCCGCAGATCGTCAGCGTGGCCACCCACTTTGCCCAGTCGCCACAGGCGTCCTCCTCCTCCACGAAGCAGACATCGCCCAGGGTGGCCAGCACGGCCGAGCAGAGCATCATGCCGATGGCAGACCACTTCATGAGAGCTGTGCGGCCACAGCGGTCGACCAAGAAGAGCCCCGGAACGGTGGCAAAGATGTTGACCACGCCTGAAACCACCGTGAAGAGCCTGCCCGCGTGCTCGCTTTTGAAGAGCCTCTCAAAGATCATCGGCCCATCATACATGAAAGCGTTCATGCCGCAAAGCTGCTGAAGCAGCTGGATGCTCAGCCCAATGCACAGGAGCTTGCGGCTGTCCCCTGACAGGAACTCCCCCCAAGTCGCCTGTCCAGCAGCGGACTCCGCCTCATGCTCCTGGACGATCTGCGCCAGCTCCTCGCGCACGTCCTCCTTGCGCAGGGCGCGCAGGGTCTGCAGGGCCTCCTGGTTCTTGCCCTGGGCGACCAAGTACCGAGGAGAGCCCGGCATGAACGCGCCGCCAACAACCAGCAAGGCACCCGGGACGATCTGAGACGCGATGACCCAGCGCCAGCCGCCGAAAGGCTCCTCCACGTCCTCAAGGACCAGCGCCAGGAGGAAAGCAAGCCTTGTGTGCCCGTGGTGTCAAGCGGAGACTCCAGAACAAAATTCTGAACACAAAGCCTCGGAATACTCTCGAAGGGAAGAGAAGCCCAAAAGATCCTAAAACTCTGCCAGAGAGCATGATGCCCACCGTGATGGCAAACTGGAAGCCGGTCACGAGGGCGCCCCGCAAGTGGGGAGGAGCGATCTCGCTGGTGTAGACCGGGGCGTTGCCGGACAGCAGGCCAACCGAGAAGCCCGCGATGATGCGGCCGGCCACCATGAGGGCCAGGTTGCACGCAACCGCCTGCATGGCGGAGCCAAGGCAGAAGATCGCTCCGCCTGCAATCACCGCACCCTTGCGGCCTAAGCAAGTCACGGAGGCGTCCATGACGGGGGGGAAAGCGGCGACGGCGGCCCCGATACCGAAAACCATGGTCACCACGCTGTCCTGGACATCCGTAAGAGGCTGGCCACCCAGCACGTCCTTGGAGAACGATGCCATCGACTTCACCTGGGATTTGCAAAGGAAAGACGAAAACCACCCCAAGGAAGGAATCTTGATGAATCTTGCTACCCTGAGACGAGCTCTGTTCAACAGTCGTGCAAGCAGATCTCATACGAGTACATACGAGCACCTCGCCAGCAAGGCTCATTGCTGAAAGTTCTCTAGAATACGAACTTGAACGCATCCCGGCGGCTCCGGCAATGTAGCCGATGTCCAGGCCCATCAGAAGGCCGGCGAGGGAAGAGAAGACGGCCGCCGCCACGACCATGAGCAAGCCGCCGTGGCCCTCGCAGTCTTTCTCCTGGATGCCGGCGCGGGCCATGACGTCCGCAACCTGCTCCGTGGACAAGGCCGCCTTCTTGGCCTCCGCCACCGCGACCGGCGCCATGGGGACAGAGTTCGAGGATGGGAGGCAGTGAGGGAGTCTTTGGGAGCCAAAGATGCTGGCAGGATTCTCAAGCATGCACCCGGCAAGAGTTCAAATGCCATTGGGAAGTGGCATGCCACCCTGAAGCGGCACTGCTTGCCACCCTTACGGACTTTGTGCCCCTTGTGAGCTTGCATTGAACATCAAGCTTTGGGGTTGTGGGTTCGGGGTTTAACTTCGGCTGGAGCCCGCGAGAGTTGACTGCCGAGGAAAGGGGTAAGGCAAAAAGGAGCTGCTTCATGTGCTACCCTTTCGCAGCACTAGAACATAAGATGTACTTGAACATGTAAACAGGAATGCCAATCGGATGGGCTTTGGGCGCTCCAGGGCAGCATGTGCAGCTCAAGGGCCCTTTGCAAGCTTGCATAGCTGCTCTTCAAACTCTTCAGCTCCCCCTTGGGGCTGGTCGAGAGGACGTTGGACCTTTGCCCAACTTGTGCGATGGCCGCCCCCTGCGGGCACATCATGCAATAAACGGACTTGTCGAGCTCCGTTGAAACACTCAGATACACTCAGTCTGGTTGCTAAGTTGATAAAAGCATCCTATACAGTATGCCTGCTGCAAGCAAGGCTGCAGGGCATCGAGATGTCCTGTACATTGCCCAGCAGGACGTGAGGATCCCTCTCCATTTGTGCCAGGGGCCTGACGTAGCAGGCAGCCCGCCTGTTGCTGCTCAAGCGGATCGGGATGACAGTCCTACCGGCCGCCGCACTTATACGAGAGTTTCCAAGACCTTATACTGTAAGTCTCTCGTTCCGAATTTCCCACCCTAGGAGTACACCGTCTCGTTGCACCCTTCTGTCCGGAAACTCCCGCATCGCAGCGCAGCGCTACCTCACACCGTCACATTCTCAGGCTCTTCAGTCGGGTGCAGCCAGTCGTGGAACATCCTGGCAGTTCTCCCGAGTTACAGCAGAAGCAACCACCCACATTCATCTTCGCGCAGATGCTTAGCACACAAAAACTGGATTCCAAAATACCAATGGCCGAGCATCTGGGTGATCTCTTCCAGGCTCTTGTCCTTGGTCTCTGGAAGGGACACGGCGCACAGCAAGCAGAGCATGTTCGTGCCCACGAAGACCTTAGCTGCACTTCGATGTTGAAACACCATCCTGCCTTGCAGAAAAGACTTCCAAATCCAAGAGGCCCAGAAGGTGTTGAAGCCCCAATTCGAGAACAGGATCGGGGGCAGGAAGGCGATCACGATCTTAGCGCACGCGCGGGACTCTGCTAAAAATGGGGAACCCTTCTTTTAAAGCTAGACTTCACGGATGTCTTCATGGCAGCTTCACTCTATAAGCTGGACTGAGGCCGGCGCGTTGCCGATCCAGTTTGCATCGGTGGTTGCCCCGACGCCCTTGGTGCGGTGCCTCATGGGGAACATCTCAGCGCAGTAGACCCAGGCCATTCCTCCCCAGCCATAAGCGAAGTTCACGATGAAGCCGCAGATCGTCAGCGTGGCCACCCACTTTGCCCAGTCGCCACAGGCGTCCTCCTCCTCCACGAAGCAGACATCGCCCAGGGTGGCCAGCACGGCCGAGCAGAGCATCATGCCGATGGCAGACCACTTCATGAGAGCTGTGCGGCCACAGCGGTCGACCAAGAAGAGCCCCGGAACGGTGGCAAAGATGTTGACCACGCCGGACACCACCGTGAAGAGCCTGCCCGCGTGCTCGCTTTTGAAGAGCCTCTCAAAGATCATCGGCCCATCATACATGAAAGCGTTCATGCCGCAAAGCTGCTGAAGCAGCTGGATGCTCAGCCCAATGCACAGGAGCTTGCGGCTGTCCCCTGACAGGAACTCCCCCCAAGTCGCCTGTCCAGCAGCGGACTCCGCCTCATGCTCCTGGACGATCTGCGCCAGCTCCTCGCGCACGTCCTCCTTGCGCAGGGCGCGCAGGGTCTGCAGGGCCTCCTGGTTCTTGCCCTGGGCGACCAAGTACCGAGGAGAGCCCGGCATGAACGCGCCGCCAACAACCAGCAAGGCACCCGGGACGATCTGAGACGCGATGACCCAGCGCCAGCCGCCGAAAGGCTCCTCCACGTCCTCAAGGACCAGCGCCAGGAGGAAAGCAAGCCTTGTGTGCCCGTGGTGTCAAGCGGAGACTCCAGAACAAAATTCTGAACACAAAGCCTCGGAATACTCTCGAAGGGAAGAGAAGCCCAAAAGATCCTAAAACTCTGCCAGAGAGCATGATGCCCACCGTGATGGCAAACTGGAAGCCGGTCACGAGGGCGCCCCGCAAGTGGGGAGGAGCGATCTCGCTGGTGTAGACCGGGGCGTTGCCGGACAGCAGGCCAACCGAGAAGCCCGCGATGACGCGGCCAGCCACCATGAGGGCCAGGTTGCACGCAACCGCCTGCATGGCGGAGCCGAGGCAGAAGATCGCTCCGCCTGCAATCACCGCACCCTTGCGGCCTAAGCAAGTCACGGAGGCGTCCATGACGGGGGGGAAAGCGGCGACGGCGGCCCCGATACCGAAAACCATGGTCACCACGCTGTCCTGGACATCCGTAAGAGGTTGGCCACCCAGCACATCCTTGGAGAACGATGCCATCGACTTCACCTGAGATTTTCAACGGACAGACGAAAACCACCCCAAGGAAGGAATCTTGATGAATCTTGCTACCCTGGAATGAGCTCTGTTCAACAGTCGCGCAAGCAGATCTCATACGAGTACATACGAGCACCTCGCCAGCAAAGCTCATTGCTGAAAGTTCTCTAGAATACGAACTTGAACGCATCCCGGCGGCTCCGGCAATGTAGCCGATGTCCAGGCCCATCAGAAGGCCGGCGAGGGAAGAGAAGACCGCCGCCGCGACGACCATGAGCAAGCCGCCGTGGCCCTCGCAGTCTTTCTCCTGGATGCCGGCGCGGGCCATGACGTCCGCAACCTGCTCCGTGGACAAGGCCGCCTTCTTGGCCTCCGCCACCGCGACCGGCGCCATGGGGACAGAGTTCGAGGATGAGAGGCAGTGAGGGAGTCTTTGGGAGCCAAAGATGCTGGCAGGATTCTCAAGCATGCACCCGGCAAAAGTTCAAATGCCATCGGGAAGTGGCATGCCACCCTGCTGCGGCACTGCTTGCCACCCTTACGGACTTTGTGCCGCTTGTGAGCTTGCATTGAACATCAAGCAGCTTGTTTAAGGCTTTTTAGGGTCCTTCGTTAAGCGTGCAGAGCAAGGGTCCAAACCGAAGCACTGAGCTGATTGCCTGGATGGTTTGGATCGCTGTAGTAGCCTTGGATCCAAAGCAGTTCGAGGCTTTCTGGTTGCGGTTGCCTCTCGTGAAGGGCGTTCTACCACAAAGCTTTCTAGGGTTTGGGGTCCTTCGACTACTAGGGTGAGCGGCTGGAGCGGTAGGCGAGGGGTCTGATGTCATAAGTCCCCTGAACCGCTCAGGCTGAACCCTAGAATCTGTGCATGACATCCTCCAGTGCAGTCCGGTGAAGCCTAAACCCCAAAGCCCAAAACCCAAAACCCCAAAGCCCCTAAACCCCATTCCCCTAAACCCGACTCCACATTCTTCCAGAAAAAGGCTTTGGGTTCAGGGTAACTCCTTTCTAAGAACCCGCAAGTAACTCCAGAGACGACAAGCCTAAGCCCGACCCTGAAAACGAAACTCAAGCAACGGGCTGTCCAAGCAACCTGTGCACCCTCAACTATACTCCCCATGGAGCCTTATTAAGGACTTAGGGTTTAGGGTTTAGGGTCTAGGGTTTAGGGTTTAGGGTTTAGGGTTTAGGGTTTAGGGTTAGGGTTTAGGGCTTTAAGGTCTAGGGTTTAGGGTTTAGGGTTTAGGGTTTATACTCCCCATAGAACCTTAATAAAAAGACAGTATGTTCAATCCTCCCAAGGGTTGACATTACTAATTCCTAGGGGGCTTTATGGTAAACCCTCTAGACTTTCGGTCTGAGTCCACTGGTCGCAAAAAAAGTCGTAGTATTAACCTACAAAACTTGGGCCTTGGCCCTTCTAAGGAGGAGTTCGGAGTCCGCTACAACGGATTCCCCAAAAAGGTTCATAGCCTCCTGAGCACACAAAACCCTCAAGGTTTAAAATTTAGGGTTTAAGGTTTTGGGTTTTGGGTTTCGGGTTGAACTCCCCCAGAGCTGCTAAGTGGCCGAACCAGTCGGTCGGGTCCTCGCCGAAGGCAAGGCTGGGTCGCGGAGCGGCGCTAAGGCCCGCGGCGGTCTCGAAAGGAGGGACTCGGGTTTAGGGTCTAGGGTTTAGGGTTTAGGGCTTCGGGTTTAGGGTTTAGGGTTTAGGGTTTAGGGTTTAGGGTTCAGGGTTCAGGGTTTAGGGTTTAGGGTTTAGGGTTTAGGGTTAAGGGTTTAGGGTTTAGGGTTTGGGGTTTAGGGTTTAGGGTTTAGGGTTTAGGCTCCGGGGCAACGGGCAATTTTGGGAGTTTAGGGCTTAAAGTCGAGAGGTTACTTGAAGGTTCATGGGCGGTTATCTTTGTGATATACGTGCCCTAGATGAAGTAAAAACCATAGCCACTCTTACTTACAACCCTACATTTTCCAATGAACCTTCAAGTATTGTAGGGTTCAGAGTTTAGGGTTTCAAGCTAACCCTAAACCCTAAACCCTAAACCCTAAACCCTAAACCCTAAACCCTAAACCCTAAACCCTAAACCCTAAACCCTAAACCCTAAAGGATGCTCGGGTTGCGGATGCTCGGGTTGCGGGGCTCGCGTCGCACTGCCCGAATTCCCGGTTCAGGGCTTCACGGCTTTGCGGATCGGCTTTGGGCTCTTAGGGTTTAGGTACTTGTGGGGTTTAGGGTTTAGGGTTTAGGGTTTAGGGTTTAGGGTGTAGGGTTTAGGGTTTAGGGTTTAGGGCTTCGGGAGTTTCTTCGAAGTCCTGTCATAAGTACGCTATATGGGGAAGGATTCTAACCATAGTTGCCCTGGCAGCGACCCCAATTCTCCCCTTGGCGGCCCCCAACACTGAAGGGGCCGACCGCGACCGCCAGCAGCGCGCCACGGCGGGTCGTAGGTGCCTCTACTTGGACGTTCATGGGTACTTATCACCCCAATGATAGCTGTACTTAAAAGCCCCCTAAGTCCTCTAAGTAGGTTATAAGTGAACTTGTAATTGTGGTTACAGGTACCCATGAACCTCCAAGTAAGGCAGCTCATTCTTGGAGGTTCAAGCTTGCTTATGCCTAGGGTGAAAAGCACCCTGAATCAGGCCATTAGCATAGCTACCGCAAAGGGGAAGTTATCGAAAGATCACAGCCTATATACGCCCCCTCTATGGCCCTTCGAAACAATATCAGGACTTGCAGTGTCCCATAAAGGCAGCCAAGGGCCAAGGATCAATAGGCCCTTCAATGAGGCCCTCCGCCCTCAACCCACTAAACTCTAAACCCTAAACTCTAAACCCTAAACCCGAACCCCTAAACCCTCAAACCCTAAACCCTCAAACCCTAAACTCTCTTGCCTCAGTGCCGGGAGACAAGAAGGCCAGACCTCCAGTTTGTATGAATGTTTCTTGATAGACCACCACCGGTGCCAGGTGAGTAGCTCTCCAAAATAGGGTCACGTTTCGGTTCCCTAGCTTGCAACCTTTAGGGTTTAGGGTTTAGGGTTTAGGGTTTAGGGTTTAGGGTTTAGGGTTTAGGGTTTAGGGTTTAGGGTTTAGGGTTTAGGGTTTAGGGTTTAGGGCTTTTTCCATAAGGACCAAACTCCACGAATCTCACGCTACCGTGCGCCCGCACCATGAGATAGGTGGAACTGTCAAGCTTGTGCCTCACTGTGGCTTTAGATTTAGGGCCAGGGCAAGCAGGGGCGACCTGATTTCAACCCTAGGCCCTGAATTCCTCAAAAACTCCCCCAACTCCTGAAACTCCCCCAAGCTCGCCCGAAAATTCCAAAAGCTGCCTGCACTTCCTAAACTCCCTATAGACTCCGGCATGGTATGGGCGTAGTGACAGGAACAGAGATCAAAACTCCCCAAACTCCCTCCAAACTCCCTAACCTCCCTGAACTCCCCAAACTCCCTGAAACTCCCCTGAACTCCCTAAAACTCCCTGAACTCCCCAAACTCCTGAAAACTCCCTGAACTCCACAAACTCCCTGAACTCCCCAAACTCCCTGAAACCCCCTGCATTGAAAAAATCCGCCTGCCCAGCCCAGGAGGGCGCCGGCGAGCAGCGCCCCGCAGAGCTGGGTCGCAAGCAGGCTTCGGCTTTTGGGGGGCTTGGCCCTTTAGGTTTAGGGTTTAGGGTTTAGGGTTGAGGGTTGAGGGTTGAGGGTTTAGGGTTTAGGGTTGAGGGTTTAGGGCTTAGGCTTGGGGCAGACCGAATCCGCGGAAGCGTGCTCAGAACGAACCTACCGTCCTTAATAGGGATTCCGGGATTATAGGTGCCCCCTCTTCATAATCCCTACTAATTCTGGGGGAATATCCCAAGACCCGAACTCCAAAGAAGCCGAGTACGCCGCCGATCTTCTCATGCGCTGCACCATGCCGGCGACCTGCGGTGTTGGGCTTAAGGGTTTGGGGTTGAGTGTTTAAGGTTTATGGTTTAGGGTTTAGAGTTTAGGGTTTAGGGTTTAGGGTTTAGGGTTTGGCTTCCTACGTGACCCCCACGGCTTGCAATCCACAAGGCTTTGTTTGGGCTTACGGTAAACCCTCAACCCTACACTCAAAACCACCCTAAACCCTAAACCCTGAACCACTCTAAACACGAAGGCTCAAGCACCGTAGGCAGTCAAGAGCCTAGCACCTACTTTGAAGCAATGAATGAAGCCGGAGCGCAACCACATGAAAAAGCCACGCGAGTGCAAATGATTTCCTCATCAGTTTCAGTGGAATATCACCCGGACGATCAAATCTTCTTGGTACATCGTCTCCCTGATGGTTCAGAGAAACGGGAACTCACCACGTCCATGATTGTTGATGCGATGTTCGAGGTTAAGAAACGCGCTGCAGTGTCCAACTTATCTGACATTAGTCAAATTACAGGCACAGCGCCCGCAGGACCCATCAAAGAGGAGGAGGTTGATTATTCCAGTCTGGAATGGGGTGACATGGATCCAAACTATCGGCGGGAACTCGAGAAACGTCCTGAAGTTAAGGCAGCTCTTCAACGATTCAAGCGGCAATCAAAGGCTGCACGGCTCACGCCGTCAGGAGAGTTTATGGAGTTTCATACAGCCGAAATTCCCGCGCCCGACAACCCGCCTACTCTGGCTGAGGATTTCAAGCAGAGGGAAATGACCGGGGACACATTGGACTCTGCAATCAAATTTTATCATGAGCGTCATGTGCAGCCCAGTTTCAACATGTTAGCGGATGCCGTGACGGCTATGTCCAATCGGAAGGCGCCATGCGTGCTACAAGCTTTGAATTTACACCAGATGCAGTTGAGTAACCTTGAGGGCGAAATCTGCCAACGCACGGTTCTCTTGCATAACACCCCTCCGTTCGCGAATTATTCTTCCATACAGGGAAACCTGCAGTTCCTGTGCGGGGTGGCTGGTCTGGATTTTCACCATGCAGTCCAATCTTGCTCAACCCACATTCTCTCCCCGAATGCCGCGATCCTGAGGGTTGTCTTTTTGCAAATGCAGGGAAGCCGCGAGTTTGTCATTGCTTTTCGGAAAGGCGCAAGGTACTGGCGAGACTACCAGGACCGGGGCAATGATCGAAAGATACGAGTTGAGAAAGATGTTCCTTTCTCAACTCGTTTGGAGAGGCAGCCGTATTATGCCTTGCTGGACATGCTTTCGGACATTTCTCCACCTCCTTATGGCTCCACCTCCTTCCGTACAGATTTGTCCTCCCTGCAGATAAAAACCCCGGAGGAGTGTGACGAGGATATGGTCTTGGCGCAGGTTGTTTACCTTCCTTTCCGAGGGGAGTTTCGATGCATTCTGCTTGTCCAGCCCAATCTTGTGACCTCGCTACAGTCATCCTTTGGACGTCATTTCAATGAGCGCA